TGCGCTTCATCATCATAATCATCATGATCATCATCATCATCATCATCATCAGCAGCAGCAGCAGCAGCAGCAGCAGCAGCAGCTCCTCGGACTGAAATCACTGGATCTTAACCTATCGGATCTTCTCCCCTCAGGATTCACCAACTACATGCGCAGCCCAGCCGGGGATATTTTCAACCCAGAGCACAACCAAGTCAACCAAGACATGACTCACCCTCTGAGTCACTACTTCATCACCTCTTCTCATAACACCTACCTCATGGGGGACCAGCTGATGTCTCAGTCCAGAGTCGACATGTATGCTTGGGTTCTGCAGTCTGGGTGCCGGTGCGTAGAAGGATGCGGCTTGGCTTTCAAAACAGAAAAAAATCAATGCTCCCTCCCTCCCTCCCTCCCTGGATTACTCTATGCATTCCATGGCTTCTTGTTTCCATCTAAGTCCTCACGGTGTTCCAAATATTGGAAAATTCTAACTGAACTAAAATATAGGAAAAGTTTAGCACGCGGTTAAGTTTTGCTATTAGCAAAACATATTCCTTCAAACAGTTGTTCCTTCCTGTGTAGGGCAGGGGGATTAGAGATTGTAGCCCGTGTTATTTTGTAATTGCTCGAAAGGAACTAGAGAGGAAGTAATTGCCCTGCTTTTGGCTATTTTACCGAGCTGTCCAGTTGAAGATCTAGGCTGCTTCCGCATGGAGGTTTTTCTCGATCCAGTACTGTAGCCGAAGTGAAAACGGTAGGCACTTTTCTCCTGTGCTAGATTAACCAACAGACAATACGGGACTAAAAGGGTAGCACTAATTATTTGGGCAGAAGATTAATTTTAAAGTGACTTACGAAATCTGCAAAAGGTCCCCCTTTTTGAGCTAGGGTTGCCAGCCTCCGGGTGGGGCCTGGAGATCTCCTGTTTTTACAACTGATCCCCAGCTGACAGAGATCAGCTCCCCTGGAGAAAATGGCTGCTTTGAGGGGTGGACTCTGTGGCATTGTACCATGCTGAGGCCTCTCCCCTCCCCAAACCCCGCCCTCTCCTGGCTCCACCCCCAAAGTCTCCAGGTATTTTCCAACCCAGACCTGGCAACCCTCGTTTGAGCCTGCGAGCACATTTGAAATTCTGACACAGGAACAAAATGGCTGTCACAAAATGGTTGCCACGGGTTACCAAAAGGGTTGTCACAAAAATCAGCCAGCAGGCATGTAGGAAAGTTCAGAGCGGTTATCTAAATATTCCTTCTCTCTTCCTCGGCAGTTGACTGTTGGGACGGGCCAGATGGGGAGCCAATTGTCCACCACGGCTACACCCTCACCTCCAAAATCCTCTTCAAAGATGTGATTGAGACCATCAACAAATACGCCTTCATCAAGAGCGAGTACGTAGTTCTCACAGTGGAGAGTCAACGTGTTCTCATTCCACACTGGGTCGTTGGCAGTGCGATCCCTAAGCAAATTGACTGCAGTGGACTCAGAAGGGGGTAACTCTGCTTAGAATGGCGCTGACTAGGACTTACTTCCAAGGAGACCTACTTAAGATTGCTTCTTAAGCTGTAATAAGGAAGTCCCCGATTGGAATCTGGCCTCTTCCACAAACTCAGCAGGAGACCTTAATCACTCTCCCTCAACCTCCCGTCTGTATTATGGATATAATACTACTCTCCTACCTTACAGAGCAGGCGTGTAGCCACAGTGGGGCATTTTGGGGCCCGGCCCCTTTAATTTAAAACCCTGCCCCACAAATAGCCATGCCAGAAGCCTTATTTTTGACCATGACCTAGGTAGTCCTGGGCTAGCAGAAAGGGGGTTGTTGGAGATGTATCAAAGGTGCCCTTCTAAGCTTTCTTGCCCTGTGGAAGGGAATTCAAACAGCATTTAAATGCCTCCTGAAGGCAATTTAATGCACTCTGTGCTGGTTTTTTCCCCTAGGAACTGATGCGCTCGCTGCCCTGTCCCTTGAGAAGCAGGGCTAGAAACAGGCTGAGAGCCTCCCCCTTTAAAGACAGGCATTCAGATTAATTTAACTGCCCCCAGGGGTAATTTCCTGCAGGAGCGCACAGGAGCAGAGCTCCAGCAGTAAAGAGCCTAGGGGGCGGGCACATGCAACAAGCCCCACCCCCTGCTCCCAGCAGCCCTCAGTCAGAGCGAGAGGCAGCCAGGTAAGTTGCAGAGCCCCCCCGGTCCAAAACAGTTCAGTGGCACCTTTAAGACCAAGTTTTATTCAGGTACAAGCTCTCCCTCCTCTGCAAGGACAGATTTGCACGTTCCCCCCCCACGCCCCCCCCCCCCCAATAGCTAGGAATCCAAAAGAGTCCAGTGGAGCCTGAGCGGTGGGTGTTGCCTTCTGACACACTTCCGGTGATATCAGGGGGTGTGGCATATGCAAATAAGTCATGCTAATGAGTTATGCTAATGAGCTCCTGCACCTCTTTTTCTACGAAATGACCCCTGACTGCCCCCTTAAAAATTGAAATGCCCCCCAAACAAAACAATCCTGGCTACGGGCCTGTAAAAGAGCTATTGTAAGATGCTGCCGAACACTCAGCAATTGCTGTACACGTGCCGTTGCTGCTCAAGCCCATACAGATATTGATGGGGAATTATGCCTAACCCACCTCAACTATTGCTGTTCAGAGTATGCAGCGGAAAGCATCTCTGTCTCCCCTGCTTCTTCCTCCTCCCTTGGTCTTATTTCCTTGGAAGGTTCCCACACACACACAATGTCTGAAGTGCCAGAAGTCCTGAGAAATGTATTCCTCAGGGCAATTGACATTAGGCTGTCCGGCACCTTAGGGGGCTGCATTTCCCAGGGTTCCTGACATTTCAATGTTAGAAATACTAAGATGGAAGGGATGGGGGGGGGGAGAGGGAGAAGAGAGTCTTGCCTCTCTGCTGTGCCTCCTTGGTGTGTTGAAGCTGCGTCTGCCAGAGTTGCATTTGGCAAAGGGGGGGTGCTGGGGGAGTATCGAGGATGTGTGGACCCATAGAAGCATTTGGAGGAGGGGTTTTGGAAACCTCAATGGAACATCATGGGGATTTCTGGATCTCAGAACGGGTCTCGGGGAAAAATCATACGTGCCAAGCAGTCCTGCATAGAAAGCAGCAAACAGTCTCACACAAAGGAGAAATGAGCAAGCAAGAAGAGGGGGGAATTAACTCGATGAGGGCAAGATCTAGGCTGTCTCTAGAGGGTTAGAGACTTTGGGCCAGCTCAAACATTTGCAAGGGCTTCCGTGTTTTGCGTAAAGGTTGCTAAGATTGCCATTTTGGTGTAGTGGTTAGGAGCGTGGAGTCTAATCTGGGAGAAGCAGGTTTGATTCCCCACTTCTCCACATGCAGCTGCTGGAGGGACCTTGGGTCAGTCACAAGCTCTTTCAGAGCTGTTCTCTCAAGGGCAGTTCTTGAAAGAGCTCTCTCAGCCCCACCTACCTCCCAGGGTGTCTGTTGTGGGAAGGGGAAGGGAAAGGGATTTTAAGCCACTCTGAGACTCCTTTGGGTAGTGAAGGATGGGGTATAAATCCAATCTCCTCCTCCTCCTCCTTCCTTCCCATATTCTAACCTTTTTTCTCCAGTCCATTTGCGGGCCTGGTAGTTTCCTGTCAATTGCTCATGATCATTATTACACAAACTGTAAGCCATGGCAAATAATTGAGGACATTACCAAAATGGAAACAATAAAAGAATACACGCTCTACGCTTAATTTATATGACAGTTGACTTTTGCAGTTGGGTAAGCAAAATTAGCTTTATGATTTAAGGATGTATCCTTTTCCTCCAAAGGGTTAGCAGTATTTTCTCCAGCACAGTGCAGTTGCTAAATTTATTCAGGCTGGGCACGGACTACTTTCCCCTTAACTCTTGGTTCAGAGGGCAGGCCAGAAAGTAAGATGGTGGATTTTGCATTTACCAACAACAGAAACATAGAATCTAGGGTTGCCAACTCCAGGTAGAGATATTCCTGGAGCTTTGGGGGTGGACCCTGGGAAGGGTAGGGTTAAGGGAGGGGCAGAACCTGAGTGGGGTGTCGTGTCATAGAATCCACTCTCCAAAGCAGCCATTTCTTCTTCAGGAACTGATCTCTGCAGTCTGGAGATCAGGTGTAATTCTGGGAGATCTCCAGGCCCGACCTGGAGTTTGGCAACCGTAAATCTCATGGTTGGACCAGTGCAACTCATCCCTTTTCATTTGTTTTCCGTAATTTTGCCATGTCAAGCATTCCACTCTACATCTTTCTGATGATTATTAGCCACAAGGTACAGATAGGAACTCTCAGTCTGGGGCAAGGGATGCTGTGTTTGGAGAACTGAGTTTGATTCCCCACTCCTCCACTTGCACCTGCTGGATGACCTTGGGCAAGCCATAGTTCTAGCACAGCTGTTCTTGAAAAAGAGCAGTTTCTGTCAGAGCTCTCTCAGCCCCACCTACCTCGCAGGGTGTCTGTTGTGGGGAGGGGAAGGGAAAGGAGTTTGTAAGCCGCTCTAAGGCTGCGGTCACACGTAACAGAAGCCACACAAGTGAGACGGAAAACAGCCGGAGTTTCCGGGCGCGATCTCACCAGCACATCTGGGAAACGTAGCACTCCCGTGGCTCAACCGAGGCTTCCAGCCGAAACTGCGTGGCAAAAAACTAGTACCTTGGAGGTACTAGTTTCCGGAAACTGCGGGGCAAGGGCGGGCGTCTGATCGCGTTTCCGGTGGCATCCGGCGCCTGCCCATGTCCCCTTGCAAATAAGGTGTTTTTTTTTTGTTCCGAGCCTCTGTGGATGCGCATGTGCACCCAACGGAGCATGCGCATTTGTCATGTACACAAAAATAAAAAACAGTTTGCCGCGGCGCGCGCTTCTTCGTTGCGCGCCGGCTTGTCCTGTG